GAATTCCTCAAACCAACTGTCCTCTCTCCAAATGTCTTAACTTCCTGAACTATAAATATTTCTAGAATAGAAATAGTCACGTTTGCATCAGAGAGAATACACACGCAAATAAACAGTTTGTGTTCTATCTAGTAAAAATTTGCTTCTGTAAAAGGAGGAAAAAAATCACTTACAGTAAGACTTCCTGGTTTGAGAGAGGATTTTAGTGGAAACATTTCCATTAGACAAAGTTTCTTACAAATTGGAAAGAAAATTAATGTTTTCTCCTTAGGAAACTAAAGCACTCATCGATACCACCATTGAATTAGAATTTCTATGCCATTTCCCTTCATGTAGAAATGTGTTTCCAATTTTTCCATCTCTGCCAATCTCGAGTGAGCTGCAACCCATGTTGGTCACCCCACCTTGAGTGTGTGGTTCAAATGCAGTGGCTGTATTCGATAGGTTTGTCGAAACTAATAACCTGTCGCTAGCACAACAAATGGCAGTTTCAAGCTGACCGAAGTGCTCCGTCTCTTTAGATCTCTTTGCAAATAACCTATGAACATCTTTCCTTTAAGCTGCAGACTAGTCACTGTGACTACTTACAGGGTAGAACATTCTGTGTCTTGTATTTACTGGCCATACAAAGGGGGTGTTGAATACTTGGATGGGAGACACTGCACTCTTTTACGTCATTCTGCCTTTTTGCAATTAGTTTTTACGCGGTGCCAACTGGAGGAGCAAGGTAGGGAGAACAGGGCTGGGAGGACTGAACCAGGACCTTGCTCTCCCCGTTTGTTTCTCATCCCCATCTTCTCTCATCAGTGGGCACTAATGACACATTCGACCTTTACTTAAATGAACACACTGAAATGGAGGGCAGCGTGGAAACTGTGCCTGTTCCTTATTTACTTCTGGGTCCTCAGGACCGAGGGCAGCACATGGCTACGTAGTCAGCCACCCAATAAAAGGTGTTTCAGTGAGTGACAAACACACTTGCTGCCCTATGCAGTGTCATTCGCTGGAATCCCAGAAAACAATGTAGACCTGCATATTTTCTTCTATATTTAATCTCTAGTTTGAAGAATGATCATGAATGATAAGTGTACAGATCTACATAACATATTATTTCCCGCTTCGAATGGGCATGGGACAGAAGGGCTTTGTGGTTTATAATTCACCTGAATACAGATGGCTGTTGCACAGACTTTGATCACCTTAGCCACTTATAAAATAATGCAAAAGAAGCTTTATCAGATTTTCTAAGAAGGGTAGCTATGGAAGAGTCTCTCTGCTCGAAACAGGATACAAATGAGGTTGACATGAGGAATGTTCTTGCAGAAGCAGCCTGAAAAGACAAAGAGAGCAAGTGAATTTGTTAAATTTCACCTTCTCCTCCGCCTCTGCTCTTCTGCTAGTTCTCCTTTGCTTAACATTTTGAATATTTAATACTATGCTAATTTTTTTCGATTCAATGTCATATCTATTCTGGAGAAAATTTTACAGAAGTCATTTCACCACTATTTAAAATAAAATGGAGTGCTATTTGGGACATTTGTATTGTTTGGTATTATTTTATACCTCAAAGAATGTTTTTCCTTCTCTATGGACTTTTTTATGTCTAAAGGCCATGATAACAGCTGACAGTGCAGTTGTTTCTCAAATTCAAAGTTTAGGTAGGAAGAGCAAAATAAGATTGCACTGGGGCAGAGTCAGCCAAGCAGACGTAGGTCATAATTGCCTTGATAGACTTTTTTGAATATTGATGAGATAAAATGTGGTTGAAGTAATATTCTCCAGGAATTCAACATATAGGGAAAGGATCACATCAATACATGAATAAAAAAATTAGCATTGGTTTGTATTTACCTTTCTAGGTTTTCTATTAGTCTGAATCTCTAAATCTCTAGATTACAAATAATCTCTTCCTTACGACGCAGCACTCTACCTGAATCCATACTGTCTTAAGAATTTGCCCTAGCACCATCGGACGGGGGCTCCGGAGAAGAGAACTGGCGACCATTAGAGCGTTGGCACTGAGTGAGACACGTGCGCCTTGGCGTCCTGGGCGAGAAGCCGCGGCCGGAGACAGGGACGCCCCCCACCCCACCCCACCCCCGGCCGTGCGCGGCTGGTGTAGAGACAAAGCGATTCCGTTCCGCTGTGCCAAGTGAGTTAGAATTCTGGTACAGAGATTTTTTTCAGTTACTCTATGTTTAAAACAGATTCTCAACTAACTCACCACAAATCTCACTTTACAAAAATATGTACTTTGGATACAAATCGAGTGACCCTTAACCCAACACTCAGTTCTCACTCTATTATGGATTTTATTAATATATTTAGCTCTTGTAAATATTGTGTGGGGCAGCAGCACATGGTCAATATAAAGTGTGTAAAACTTTTAAAACCAAAGGTATTGCTGGTGGAAAAAATTTAAAATGTTTCAGCTGATATTAACAAAACAGAAAGATTAACAAATTTTGGAATTTTACACCTACCTACTCTTTTCCTAAGGCTAATGGAGTATGTATTCTTGATATGCATGTTTCCTTCAGTGATCATTTGGATGGGCTAGCCCTTTCTGTAGAAAACAAATTAAAATAGGCCTTTCCCCAAGATTACCTTATAAAAATCTCCTAACATTCAAAGCGATGGGAAGGTGTGTTTGGCAATGTGCTAATTGGTGATTGTTTTTGTGCTTTTGTGTTGTTGTTGTTGTTTTCCTGGTTAGGAAGTGAGGCTCATGTAGGTGGGAGAAAGGAAAAAGGGCAGAGTGGGTGCAGCTGAAGGTGAATTGAAAGTAACTTCCAAGATAGAATTCTGGTAGAGACGACCTTTACATTGTGGGCAAGATCTACTGCACATCTGCTTCAAAGAGCCCTGCCATCAACCTTTTCACAATCACCCCGTTGATAGCACCCCACTCCCACTTCCCAATATTCACACCTCATCCCAGGCTGGTCCTAGTGTGAGCCTTGGCGAAATCTCAGCAATAAATAAATATGCTACCTCTAAGTTCCTAGTCTAGTAACTGTAAGAGAGCATTTATTTGTTTAACATTTACTGTATTTTACACAGGCTGAGCATTTGTTATCAGCAAAAAATATTCCAATAAAATATAGGGTGTAAAATAATTCTTAAAAAATTAAGGCCAAAAGCTGGCAAATAACTCTATTTTCAAGAACTCTGCAGCTTCAAATTTCAGCAGAATTCTTAAAACTTAATGTAATTCTTATCACTTAATGTAATTTTTATTTGAAGAGTTTATTATCTGAATTTATCTTTGGTTTCAGGTCATTTGCCTGATTAATGAGGCCAGATGACAGCTTTTTAGCCTTAGACATTCTCAGGTGTGTCTTAACAATATTGGCAAAAAAGCACAGAGACTGCTTGTTATTAAAATTTGAAAACATTGCATTTTTAAAAGACTTTTAGAACTGGCCAATGGGGAAAAAAAGAGGCACTTCTTTAAAAATTCTTCTAATATCCTAAAATATATTCACATACCATGTATTCCTCAAAATATTTTGTTTTAGGAAAAATGTAAGCCTCAAACCCAGAACTTGCCAGTTAGTTGTATTTAGCAAGTTTTCCAAATACTAACTTGAAGCAGACACTTATTTCCAACCGGAAATGTTATTTCAATGTATACTTTTTCTCAAACACATTATATTTTGAAAATCTGTTTGCCTCTTCTGTTTGAAGGAGGGCAGTAGAAGGGAGAACCTTATCTCTTAACGGCATCTGGCAAATTATGTGTTTAGTATATATTTGATTTCATGGGTTAGATTGGTTTAAAGAATATTAAAACCCAAGACAGAGATCAGGATAGCTGTTGGGATGCTCCTCCCAGTCGGAGTGGTCCACCCCAGCCAGCTGGGGCACACTCGCTCCCTCACGCCTCTGCTCAGCCATCCTAGGAACTCCTGTTGAGCTGCTAAAAGGAATAAGACATACAGCCATGTGGGGATGCTCTAAGGTTTCTTCCAATCTTCTCCCTCCGTGTCCTTCTCTACCTTTAAAAGGGAATATTTACGGAAGGGAAGAGGCAGCAATGCTGTAAGGAACCAAGCACTAGATTGAAGTTCAAGGCTTGAGGGTCTATATCACATCTCTCCTCACAATACCTCTGGGATCATTGCAAAATTGCGTAGCCTTTTTACAAGCTAGTTACTTCCACCCCTCTCATCTTTAAACATATGAGGCTGGACTACATCTCCAAGGCTTCTTCCAGTTCCCAAACACCATAATTCATGCTGCCCATAAAAAATAAATGCAACTCTGGAATGTTCATTTTCTTAAGTAAAGTTGTAAAGGCTCTGGACTTTTTCATTAACAAATGCCCGAAGCTGTACGAAACTTTGTGGGTGCTCAATAAATATTAAACAATCAATTTTATCTTTCATCTGCAAAATGGGATGAGTAATGCTGACTTGTCTCCCAGAACTTTGTGTGAGAATAAATGAGAACAAAGCACTTTTCAGATAATGAAGTAATTCGAATAAGCTGCTTTCACAGGGCTGAGGCCTAGGAGATGATGCAAGAATAAACTGCCTTTTTATTATCGCGTCTGTGAACGACAGCAGTCTTTTCATCTGTTTAAGAAGAAACAGCCATTATCCTTGCTTATCACCAAAAAGTCAGCATGAGTAATCTCTGTGCAAATGAAATTTTTCATGTGATTTTAACATTTATCACTTTTAACAATGCAGCTTTTATTTTAACCTGATATCAAATGGGATCACGTACTGATGTAAATGGCTCCGTGCAGCAATTCCATCAGCATTATACCACTCTGCTCAAAGAAAATGCTTTCTCAAATGACTGATGAGCTGCGCAAATGAGAAAATTATAAATTTAATACACTTCCTGCTCGAAAATAGTGCAATTGGGGAATTTGTTACTAAGGAAAATGATATACTGCACTCTAGCTTCCTGGAGACTTCTACAGTATGGGTCTTTTTGGTTTTGCTTATGCTAAATAAATAATATGTTCTGTATTTTTTTTTTTACAGTGTTCCAAAAAAAGACGCCCAGAAGACAATCTGATGATGACAAGTTTCATGGTGTTCCTAAGAAACAAGGTACTGACACTAACTTCAGTCCATTCACTAATCTCTAAGCAGGATTTAAAGAAATCTTATGAATACTGAATAAAGCAACCTAGGACAGAAGTAAGTAATTGTGTGCTTGCTTAATTTTACTCTAGAGTAAGTATCTCGCCTAAATATAATGTTTCCATAATGAAATCAGAGCAAAAAAATTATTTTAAATACCAAAGGCAGGAAATGGGCTTTCGGATGTTTGTGGTGCTGATGTTGATGTTGTTATAAGGGCTGCAGGAGGGTTAAGTAAGAATAATTCTCTGATGTGCATCAGGCCACGTTTGCATAGACCCGTAGAGGGAAGTATCTGGAATTTGGCGTGGTGGGAGTGGTGATGATCATTCCCCAAAGGAGGGACCAGCGTTGGTGGCCCCTGCTCTGCATCACATGCCAGCCAGAGACTGTGCCCTTTTCCCACTATTGTCTTGCCTTCAGCACTTGATCTCACACTCTCGGAGTAATTAGTTGCCACTCAGAGAGAAGAGCTGAAAACTGTAGCCACAGAATGATCTCACTCGGGAGGAATATTTTGTGCTTCCAGTTTTCCATGAAATGCTTGTCTTCTATTGAAAAGAGAGACTATGAATCGTCCTCCAAACACAGATGTGCCCTTACGTGTGTGACCCTCACTCGGCACTGCAAGTGGCATTTGCACAGCAGCAGGTTTGCACTCAGGTCATTCTTCCAGCTAAGTGTGTGGAGGTTGAATGTCACACGTGATGAAACTGAACTTCTGTTCTGCCATGAATCACCTGCATATACTGCTTATAACTGTCATGCAAAAAACTATTTTTATTTGGCAATTTTCCATTTTTAGTGATTTCATATGGGGGAGATGGTTCTTTTTTAAGTTCACTATAATCCTCCCAGTGTCCCTTTAGCTCTCTCAAGAAATAAATGCAAAGCTCTCTGTGAGATCATTGTGCAGTTCGGATCAGAACAGCTGCCGAAGAACTAAGCACAGTGGATGAGATTATTCCTACCTGGGCTCCCCACATAGCTCATAGAGCTTTGTAAAGAATAAAGAGAGGAGATGCTTTGAGCTCTTTGGGATAAAAGTCCCTGAACATTTTTCTTATAAATTATTCAATTGTGTTTTAATTAAATTGTTAGAATTAAGGGGAAAATATGAAGAGGGCCACAGGAGATGAGGGGAAGTGACAAGTATCAAGTGTGATGAAGAAATCCCTGGAACCTTTGATCTTAGCAGTTACCCTTCTCGCTGCCCCACAGAAAGTGATGTCAGAAAAGGTGCTGGTATCCAGTAAGACCAGGAAATCCTAATCATTATTCTACCATTTGCACATAAAATTAGTACCCACATTAGTACCAGTAAAAGAGGATGAGAGGGTGGTGAAGAGAAACAAGGACCTAATTATACAATATTTTACTGGATTACTATCTATCCATGTTTTACTACCTACTTTGCATCATTAAGGTCAATTATCACTAGATTTTTAAAACTTTGGGGACTAGGAAACTAATTTTAATCATATTTTTTCTGAAATGTTTTCTCTCCACATACTGAAATTCAACTTATCAAAGATATTTTTGAGCCGGGCGTGGTGGCTCACGACTGTAATCCTAGCACTTTGGGAGGCCGAGGCGGGCGGATTGCTCAAGGTCAGGAGTTCGAAACCAGCCTGAGCGAGACCCCGTCTCTACCAAAAATAGAAATAAGTTAATTGACCAACTAAAAATATATATACAAAAAAAAAAAATTAGCCGGGCATGGTGGCGCATGCCTGTAGTCCCAGCTACTCGAGGCTGAGGCAGTAGGATCGCTGAGCCCCGGAGATTGAGGTTGCTGTGAGCCAGGCTGACGCCACGGCACTCACTCTAGCCTGGGCAACAAAGTGAGACTCTGTCTCAAAAAAAAAAAAAAAAACAGATATTTTTGGCAAGTCACCTTAGAGCAGCCTCCCTAAAGCTCTTTAACCTGTACATCACTAACTTACCAGAATGGAACAGAATGTTGTTCTGTTTGTAAAGACTAAGGGAACATAAAATCTCATGAAATATTTTTTTTTAAAAATCCCTCCCTGATGACTACAATCTGCAGAGAAATCAGAATCTAGCATGAGAAAAAAAAAAATAACTAGACATAATTTGGGAATATTTTGAAATAAAAGAATGAGTATCTAAGCACCTAAACGGGCTTATTCCATTCAACTATATTTCTCTAAATCGCTTCAGATATTATGACCATTCAGTCCATGGAACATATTAGGCAATGAAAACTGCTTATTATTGAATTAATAAACACTCTTCAAATATTCTGGGATTTCGTGGTATAATATGAAAGCAATACAAATACATACTTCAGCAATGATAATTTCTTTATTTGGTAGAAAACAATGAAAAAGACCTTTTATGGAATGTTTGTCAGAGTCGAGATTTTCTCCAGGGATTAGACAAGTTCTCTAAAGAAAGTGGGAGGAATTATTTAATTCTTCCTCTGTAGGCTGGAAGGAAAAGGGACCACGAACGCCAACTACTTTCCCGTTGAAAGTATAAGCATGTCAAACGCTCTCAGCTCCAGACTGCCAAGGGACTGCCAGGAAGTTACATTATTGCTAAGTCAAGGAATTTTCCTGAGAAACAGAAAAAAAAATCATTGGCACCATTTCCATGAAAACTCAACATATTTCTTCAATTCAATTTTCACATCCTGAAAAAAATATAAGGAAAAATACTGAGGACTTTGGGTCACAGATAAAATTTTCCATCAGAACAGCTTTAAAATCAATTTTCCCAAGTTGGATTTGCAATTGGCAGATGGCGAGGAGTGCGGTACAGAACAGCCGCGGGCTCTCGCCCCTCCCAGCGCCCAGCCAGAAGCCGGAAGTCGGGGCTGCCCCGCGGGGGCCGGGTCCTGCATGCGGGAGTCGACGGGGTGGCGGAGTCGGAGCTGTGTGACGCGCGCACAGAGGACGGATTCGTTGTCCCCAGTTCCAGTCTATCCACATTAAACCTGAGATAAGGGAAGACTGCTTCCCGTGACCGGAGCGCTGCGTTCCTGCGCCGGGTGCCGCGGCGTGCGGGTCTGCCGAGGGCCTGGCGTCCCGGCGAAGCCGCGGTCGGGCGCCCAGGGAGGCAGGGAGGCTCCTGCAATCGCCTGGAGCCGCGGGCCGCTTTCCTCCGCCTCCAGGCTCAAGTGTGCTCGCGGTTTCCAGCCCTACCGGAGCCTCTTCTTAGACTGCAGAGTGTCCCATTCCGTCTCTACTGCCACGCGGTTCCCCGCTCAGGGCCGCGTGCTCGCGCCCTACCTGACCGCCCCCGAGGTCAGGGGTCAGAGGTCAGGGGCGCGAGTCCCAGCCGACCAGCGAGCTCGGGCCCCACCCGGGCCGCTCGTTGGCAGAGCTTCCAAATGTCTTTGCCCAATTAGACATGAACTAACAGTAAAACAGCTGAGAATGGGAATAGGCAAAAATCTCAAAACCGAGATACAAAAAATAAAATCCCACCAAAAAAACCCAAAAAACTGTATGCTACATAAGACTATGCCAGAGGCCACAAGTGATCAAACTTAGCCCCTAAATATATTTATTTTAACAATAACCCATGCAATATAACCTAATTTTTTTTGCCATCACCTGGGGCCAGATTTCCTATGAAAATTCAAATTTCCAACCATTCCTTATCATACAAATGTATCATTTGCCACAAATGACTTTTGCTGTTATCATCTGTTATCACGCCTTCCATGTTGTTTTGTTATATTCGAGACACATTTCCTTAAGTCATAATTTCATAAAAAGTAGGAAAATAAAAGGTGTGTAGGGAGTTGTGTTATAAAGAAAAAAAATGGAAGAACGTTTTTATTTGTGATAATGAATAGTCATTATCACAGATATTTGTATAATGTATTGTCACAAATAAAGGCGTATTTAATAAGCAGGTACTGAACCTTATCTGCTAAGTGATTTTGTCTGGCCCCTGTAGGCTTGTGAGTTTGCAGCCCCCGCCGTGGCCCCAGGCCGCCGACCTTCGACCTTCGACCTTCGCCCTCCGCTGCAGACTGGAGTCGCCCCCTGGCCCGTGCGGGAGGGGCGTGCTCGGGGAACGGGCGGCCGCTGTCTTTTCTGTGTCTCCCAGTGTCCGCGCTGCAGCAGTTTGACAAATGTTAAATGATAACATTGCCTATGAGCAGGAGACCTGGGGAAATGTGGAAGGTATTTCCCTTATGTGGGGAAAAGAGAGTGCTGATGGCTGAGGTATTTTCATCGGGCTGGTTTTTGCCAGTACTGGATACATTATAGAGAAAAGAGGGAAAATAGTCAAAGTGTGGTCATTTGTACTCCATAAAACAATAATGGCCTCAGTCCTCTGTTCCAGTGTAACTCACATTTCCATTTGTCACCTTGCTCACAAAAGTTTTCTGTTGTTGTTGTTAAAGTCATACCTTGAAAACGTTGTGTAATGGCTGAGCTCTTGCCCACGTGGCAATGTGAGGGCAGAAATAAAGTCAAAGCATTAAAAAAACCAAAAATAAATTCTTAATAATAGTGAGAACAAAGACTGCAAAACAAGATTGCTAGAATCCAAGACTAACTCCAGTTAATTCTAAGGTTGAAAAAAGGTAGTTGAGACACTGGTCTTTATTATTATTATTTTAATGACTACATATTTATTAAGTAAATATTTCCTATTTTACATTCCTTTCTGTTGGGCAATCAAGTTGTTTCCTTTCAAAAGAAAACATTTCAGTAAAAAATGTTTCCTAGTAAAAATTTTTGGTAAAAAAATTCTTCTAGTCAGTCACTCAATAATAGAATACTAATGTACAGCCCAGTGTGTTTTCTTACCATCTATAGATGCACATACTTGCTACCATAAGCTGCTTGATGTTTATATGACCAATATTTGATCAAATAAAAAGTCTAGTCAAGAGAAATGTATCCAAAAGTAATTGATCAATATTTGATCAAATAGAAAACCTTGTAAAGAGAAATTTATCCAAAGGAACTAAGCCTTTAAAAGTAGTTTGTCGAAGCTTTTGCAATAAGAGACCAAGAATCTGTAATACAATATGTATAGGTAGAAGTCTGACATATGCTTTTTAATGAAAATTGTGTTAAAAAAGAAACAAAATTAGGAGAAAGGAATATTTTACATGACCTCCTCTTCCCCAACAAACAATAATCTAAATGTGATAAAGCAATCTTGTAAATCCTACCAAAAATTACAGGTTGCGTGTTTTGGTTTGACTTGGCTGCCCTTAGAAGAAGAGGTAGTTAAAAGCCTAAATTATTTTTCTTTGCAACTTGTCATGCCTAATAGTAATTTATCAAGAAAAATGCTTTAAATGTCTTTAGCATGAAAAAAAGTAAGAGCAGATGAATGTAAAGTTAGTCTAGTTATAACAACTCACTTTCAGGACTTACTATCTAAGACCTCTGTTGCTCTTAACTTTTGTTCTGTTCTCTCTGCACAATCTTGCAACTGAACACCACTTTCTCTTCAAAAAAAGTCATCTTACTTATATTTTAGTAACTAGAATATGAAATATGCATGAGTAATTGAAATGAATATTATTAAAAGGATTCAATGTTGTTTTTTTGTTTTGTTTTGTTTTTTTGTTTGTTTTTTGAGACAGAGTCTCACTTTGTTGCACAGGCTAGAGTGAGTGCCATGGCATCAGCCTAGCTCACAGCAACCTCAAACTCCTGGGCTCAAGCGATCCTACTGCCTCAGCCTCCCAAATAGCTGGGACTACAGGCATGTGCCACCATGCCCGGCTAATTTTTTTCTATATATATTAGTTGGCCAATTAATTTCTTTCTATTTATAGTAGAGACAGGGGTCTCGCTCTTGCTCAGGCTGGTTTCGAACTCCTGACCTTGAGCAATCCGCCCGCCTCGGCCTCCCAGAGTGCTAGGATTAGAGGCGTGAGCCACCGCGCACGGCCTCAATGTTGTTGTTTTTAATTCATCTAAACCTGTACATAAGGCAAAACTGAAACTGCTAAGGTTTCCTGGGAAGACTTTCCTTGAGATCATTTCCACAAAAGCAGAAACTCTGGCTGTCTGGGCTACTTGAGACAGCAGTGGGCTCACACTTCGGCAGAGGCTGATGGAAGTGCCGTGATGGTTAGGTGGCCTCTCTGGCGGAGGGTGACGCTAAACCGTCGTGCTCCGCGGTGGGGCACGCAGAGCCCCCTGCCAACTGCACGCCATGCATTGGAACTGAGTGAGGGGCCTGTAAAAAGCAAATGGTGTAAGAAGCGAGATCGCAACTGCTACCTGCGCTTTTTGCTGCCGAGCCAGTCAGCCCTCTGGCTAACCTGTGCTTCTCCAGTGCCCTGGGACTTCAGGCTGCATCACCCCTGAAGGAAGATTCAGCGTGTAGAATCTGTTCACCTCTTGTTAGTTCTGGGGGAATAGACTTCCGAAGAGAAAAGACAAGTCAGGAAACCCCCGTGGGAATCAGAGTGATTGGCCGTAGAGCAGTTTTATGTGCACGTGGACCTTCTTGGAAAGGCGCCCTCTCCATGTCCCTGTCCCAAGACTCGTTGTCATGAGGGACCTCAGAGGTCATGCAGGGCAGCTCCAAGGCTCAATTCTGCTTCAGATACTTGAAACCTGCTGTCACACACTTCAAACTTCTCCTTTCCAGGATAACCAAACCCTAATCCTATCAATTAATCCTAATTACTATAGAACATGAATGCCTTCCTCATTGCCCAAGTCCTTGCCAATATGGCCACTGCCTATAGTCTAGTTTATCTGTTTCTTTCTTGAAGAAGCACTTCCAGAAATGAGCAGATTTCTCCAGGGACAGGTCAGTGGTAGACAGTTGGGCAGGACCAGCTACTCTCTCCTTCTAGACTCTATGGGCATATTTAGATTTGACAGCATGTCAAGGCATGTGCAGCTGCTCAGTTACCCTTCCCCTCCTGAAATTGTACACAAGGTATGTTGGCCTTAATGCAAATATGCAAATGAGAAGGTACAAACTCAAATGAGTTCTGGTGGCCAGACAGGTAGCAAAAGTGTGTTGTCATTCAATGACCATAAGGAGTGTCAAGGATTGGGGTAACTTGGAGAGCATATCCCATCCCCAAAGGCATGCGGGCCCTTTTATGCCTTCAAACATCATGGTGGACAGAAGAAACATTGAATTTGCCCATGACCTGCCAACTTGCTACCACTGTGCCTCAGGCCAGTCTCTGGTGTTACATTAACAGCTACACCAGAAACTGTGCCATCTAGTATTCTGTGGTGCTGTGCAAATATGTGGCATGCTCCAAAATAAACTCTTTTGAAAAGGAGGCATTTCAGTACAAAATGACCAATTATTTATTTTTAATCTTTCAGGAATAAATTTACAAATGATCCGAAGCCTTTCATAACATTTAGATGTTGGTTAAGATCTCTTTTCCCAAAGTCAGAGAGATTGATTATTCTCTAAATAATTATTTTTAATAATCATGTCAACGTGTATTTAGCTTACCACATGGCAGGCACTATGGCAAGTGTTTTGTGCACATGATCTGTTTTAATCCTTGCAAAAAGATTATGAGATTGGCACTGCCCTCAAGTAGTACAGTGCGGAACTTTTGCTACTGTCCATTTTTCTCCTTGTCCCTTTCTGTTTTTAAGTGATAAGACCCAATCTTCTTATCCATAACACTAGGTGCCAGGCACCACCATCCTTAGATAAAATTTATGTAAAAATTTTGTGCTGGTTTATTGCATAGGTGCTTATAAACAGTTAAGAAGAAGGAACTCCAAGGTCTTATTTTTTGGAGTGCTTTTTCCCCAGTTGTCCACATGTGGACTCCCTGTTAAAACGCCCTCCCCTCGTGTCCTAGACAGAGCCTGGATGCAGAGTCTGACTGCGGGGCAGGAGGAACTCATCCTCCTGCAGGAGAAAGTCAAGAATGGAAAAATGTCTGTGGACGAAGCCCTGGAGAAATTTAAACACTGGCAGATGGGAAAGAGTGGCCTGGAAATGATTCAGCAGGTAATGCTGACCCCAATTCCTTCTGGAACATTCTCTCCCTTGTGGAGCACCTAGACTCTTTGTAAGTGTTTTGTCTTCACAAGAAATACAGGTGGGATGATGAATATAAAAATTATTTTTCTTTAACTGGAAATGCACGCCAACAGACACAGTAAGACTACTTTCCATAAGAGCCAAAAATTCAGTGACTCTGGCTGAATACTGTTAGAGGAATCAGCCAGTCCTTAAAATAGGGCCCTGGGCCAAAGTCCAAAGAACAAAAAGATGAATGTTCTTTTCATTTCCCAAACACACACACACACACACACACACACACACACACACACACACTTATTCCCATTTACTTTTCAGTATTCCTCTTGCAGTTTGCAAAAATATAATTTGTATCCTAGAAGTGAATCTATTAGCATTAATTGTGAAGTTATATTAGTACTGTTGGATTTGATGGAGGAATTATCTTAGGCAACTAAAGTTTTAAAAAATGGCACAAACATGGAGTTAATGGTGGAAGCTACTTTCCAGAATGATGAAGAACCATGTGGAATTGCTGGTGGTAAAGGTAAGATGGTGGTGAAGGTAAAACCCTTTGCCTTCTCCCTCTTCTCGCTCCTGCTCACGGCCACAGAGCGCCTGAAGAAGGTCTCGGCCCCACTCATAGGAGAGAGTCTATAAGGCCATGGAAACAACTGGATGGGAATGTACTTTCTAGATTTCCCAGGAAACCCTGAGGAAAAAGTGCTACTTTTAGGTTTTCTTCTAAAAGGGGATTTATTGAATGTTCGCTTGTATTACTTTTTGCCTAAAAAGATAATATTCAATGCAGAATATTTGAAAAACAAAAAGTTATCACCAATGTGCTATAAAGGGGAATCTAGTTGTGTATCATTGACTTCTAAGTCTCTAATCTTTGGAAGCAGAGCAGCAGGAAGGAATGTGCCTGGTAGAACCCAGACAGGGGCTCAGGCAGCAACAAAGTGTCACTGTGTCACCCCTCTGCTTGTGGACACTAAATAACAAATGCAGACCCCTCAAGCATGAGACTGGGGAAATGTCTCCCAAAACATCTGGTCTCCAGGATCCAGTACTGACCCTACCACTTGTAACTGTATAATTTGGGAAAGCTACGTCACTTTCTCTGTACCTCTGTTTTCATATTTGTAGAATGGGATGATGGCATTTTACATCTACGTCATTAAGTTGTGAGGATTGAGTAAGATAATACATGCAGAGTATCGATAATGACAATTGGGACATCATAGGTGGCAAATTAATACTAAGTGGCAGGGTCAGTATTGCCATCAGTGGCTGATGTTTTCATCTTGATCCATAAAACATTTGGAAATCTTGACTGTGTGTCCTGGTTGTTTCCTCATTAAGGAGAAACTGCGCCAGCTGCGAGACTGCATTATTGGGAAAAGGCCAGAAGAAGAAAATGTCTGTGGTAAGTAACACTGCCTGCTGTTCAAAGAGGACAGCATGATGAAGCGGAGAATGCAGGGACTGTAGAGTCAAACAAGCCTAAGTTCAAATCTTCGCCTCATCACTTCCCAGCTGTCTGAACAGGAGAAAGAAACGCTCGTACTCAGGCTCCTTGTCTGCAAAATCGAATAATTATACTTGCATCTGGGAGTGCTTGTGTGAGTTAACACGTAAAATATTTATCAAATTCTCTGATCCATAATGAACCCTCAATAAATACTCATTACGTTCTTTTGATTTCTATAGAAGATGCAAATAAGATAATTCTGCTCTGCATTCTTATAATCCATTATATAGGGAATCAGTAATTCAGGAGCCATCCTTTCTAATGAGTTAGAATATTTTCAATGTGGTCAATTCTCACAATTTTCCATATGTGCATCATTGCTAATAATTAAAAGTTTCTCTGGTGGCAGGAGTGGGGGGAACACTTGATGTTAATGCAAACTCAACATTATTAAGATGGTAAATCTTCTCCAAAGCTAAACAACACATTCTGATACTGAATATAAATTATGTTGTCACTATCTGACCAGTCTTTCCCCAAGTCTCTACTCTTGCACAGGTAATTAAAAACTAACAACCTCTAAAAAAGTATGAAAGCTTCCAAATCTTCCCTTTTCAATAATATTGCATAGCTTTTAGCTAGTCTTTCATGTTGAAATTCATTTCTCTTCATGTTATTGAACTATTATCTACTTTTCCATAGAGAATTCTTTAAGCTGTCTTAGAAACGTTTTCTAAAACGAAAATATACTTTCTGAAAGAATTAAGGTCATAGAGCCAGGGCTAATTTAGATGTAATAGAGTTCTACAGACCTCCATTCTCATGTGTAATAAGATTAAAATTTTAACAATTTATAAAATTGCAAGTTATGTAAATAGTTTTACTAAGGAACATTAAGCAGCTAACATTTATGTAGTAGTAGTCTCTGCGGTAGGCATTATCCCCAATTTATAAATAGGAAACTGAGGCTCTGAAAAACTAAGAAAAACAATGGACACACAGATTAGAAACTACAATCTATTTCTGTTTAATTCAAAATCAACACTCTTAATCATTGATGTCTTAATTAAAACTCAATTAGTTCTCCTTTTAGCCACAATAGAATAAACAGCACCGACAAATCTTCCCACTGCATGGAATGCTATACAAAGCAAAGGTATCAAGCAACTGATTTGGGGACGTAGACAGTGGGCAGCTGCAGACTGTAAAAAATTCCAGAGACAAGCAAAACTCCTGAGGTGGCTCTTATATTGCCCAGGTCTCTTCCAGAGACATATTTCCTGACCACAGTCTGGGCAAAGCAAGGAAGTCCTGTGGAATTGAGGAGGCAGAGATCCTAGACCAGGGCAGCTGAAGCTTCTGGAATGTGTGTGGTGGGTGGGTCCCTGGAAGGGAGGGGCTGTGTGAGAGGTAGCTTCAGAGGTCCCCACATGAGGGACTCCACCAGGCTGCTGCTCAGAGATGAGCTGTACATGCACAAGGCAAGAACACTCGAGGCATGTGACATAGCAGCTTTTAGGACATTAGAAGCAAAATAGAGTCAATAGAGGTTGACTAGAGCCAGGAAAATACCATACAGGGGATGTTTGACTTCCTGCCCCGCCAAAGTGCAGAGAGCTTCTAACACCACCTTAAAACACTTGACATGCCCATGTAATACCCAAGAGAGGCGAAGAGTATGGTCCGTGACTTACAGGAAGAGCTACGTAGACCTGCCCTGGCAAAGCTCACAGCCAAGCCCCTGGGAGATCTACGTGGGAGACAGTATTTCCAGGCTGACTGAGTCTCATCAAGGACCTTAGAAAGAAAACAGCTTGGGCTTTCTACAGATCAACACAGAAAAATGAATAACACCAAGCCTATGCAGGTCCATGCCAGCAACTGAACTGCCTGCTAAAACAAGAACCGATCCTCTCCAGAGGATCGTTACAGAATCTAGAACATACAACTGATTATCTGTAATGTCCAATATTCAACTTATTAAAACACAAGGCATACAAAGAAATGGGGAGTAAGAAATAGGACAATGTAATTCATAGTGAAGAAGAAGAAACCATAAATAAAAACTGCACCTGAGACATTGTTGATCTTAGCAGACAAAGGCTTTAGAGTGGCTCTTATAAACATATTAAATTAATGAAAAATGTGATTTTAGAGCTTGAATAAACAGGGAATCCCAACAGAAAAATTGAAACCATGCAAAAGAACCTAATGGAAACTAGAGAAGACAAGGTTACAATAAAAGAAATGACAAATTTATCAGATGAGTTTATCAGCAGATTGGATATAGCAAATTAAGAGTCAGTAAACACGAAGACAGATCAATAGAAATTATTCAATGTGATGACCAGAGGGATAAAAAGATTTTGAAAATGAACAGAGCCCCAGGGATATGTAGGCCAATATAACACAGTCTAGCATGCGTGCAATTAGAGCCCCAGAAGGAGAAAAGAGTGAGTTTGGTGCAAAACATTTTTAGATATTAATAAATAATGGCCAAAAACTTGCCAAATTAAATGCAAACCACCTGCTTACAGTTCCAAAAACTAGAAAAAGAAAAAGAATTAGTATAACTGTTAAGAACAACAAATAGGCAACTTATTTTTAAGCTACTTTAAGCCAAGGTATAAAGAAATTCTTGAAAGCAGCCAGAGAAGAGACACATTATATATCAAAGAAAAAAGGTAAAAATATTCAATAATTTCTTATGAGAAACAGTGGAGAAAGAACTAAAGGCAATGCAATAATACCTTTAAAATGCAAAAAAAAAAAAAAAAAAAAAGACCATTGATCTGTAGAAAGACCAATTCTAAATTCATAGAAAATATCCCTCAAGAACTTGATATAATAAAGATATTTTTAGGTAAATGAAATTAGAGAATTCATAGTAAAATTGCACAACAATAAATGCTTTAAAATGTCATGCAGGGTGAAGGAATATTAACACAAACTTGGTTCCACACTAAGGGAAAAGGAAGGCTGAAACTGTACAAAGCAGGTACATATAAAATACTATGTTTTCTTTCTTCTTATAAATTATTTCAAGGACAACTGTTTGAAACAAAAATAATAACATATAAATTGGGATTTATTAATACATAATATGAAGAAGGAAAAGATATGAAAACAAAGGACAGTGGGTACAGATAAGTGGAATTATATATTTGCAACATGTTCATATGGTAAACTGCAAAGTGTGGAGTATAAAGATTCAGTTGTAAAGTAAGAAAAGAAGAAGGAAAAGCAGGAAATATAAAATGTAAGGTGTGAAGCATGAAGGGGCACATTGTTGTCTCAAAATAGACTCTGATAAGTTAAAGATGCACACTATAAAAACATAGTCATAATGCAACCACTAAATAATTAAATAAAAAGACATATAGAGGGAATAAAATGCAACATTAAAAGACTATTTGATTCAACAAGATGGCAGTATTAAACTAAGGCATAACAATATTTATATTAAAGACAAATGGATTTAATACATCATTCAAAAGACAGACATTTTCAAACTGGATAAAAGAGAAATACCTAACTTTATGCCATCTAAAAGATGTACATTTTAAACATAAGACAGATAGTTTGAAAGTAAAAGACGATAAAGGGTCTACTATGCCAAGAATAAGGGTAAGCATCAGAAAGCTGCCATGGATATATCAACATCAAGGCAAAGATTATTACAACAGATTAAAGGGGATATTACAGAAGAATAAAATGGCAGTTCACTAGAAAAATATACCAGTAAATAATTATGCATTTTTATTATATATGTATTTATGAGTTATATCAAAATACAAGAAGCAAAATCTGACAGTACTCAGAGATGTTTTCACTTCTTTCTTAGTAAGCAACAGAAAAAACAGACAACAATCAGTAGAGATATAGAAAACCTAAATACCACCATCAGGTGACTTCACCTAATTGGCATTTACAAAACAAGACCTTGAAAAAATTCAGAATACATGTTTGTTAAATATGTGCATGGAAGTTCAACAAGATAGAACACATGCTGGACTACCAAAAAAATTTCAGTACATTTCAAAAGAGTGAAATCTTCAGAGTATATTCTCGGAAAGATTTTGGTCATTTGAAGTCTTACATTGTCTTACTACAACAGAAGTAAATTTAGAAATTAATTAAGAATTAGAGATCTAGAAAGTCTCCCAAAATATTTAGGAACTAAATACAACATTCAAAATAGCCGATGAAGGCCGGGCGCTGTGGCTCACGCCTGTAATCCTAGCTCTTGGGAGGCCGAGGCGGGTGGATTGCTCAAGGTCAGGAGTTCAAAACCAGCCTGAGCAAGAGCGAGACCCCGTCTCTACTATAAATAGAAAGAAATTAATTGGCCAACTGATATATATATAAAAAATTAGCCGGGCATGGTGGCGCATGCCTGTAGTCCAGCTACTCGGGAGGCTGAGGCAGAAGGATCACTCAAGCCCAGGAGATTGAGGTTGCTGTGAGCTAGGCTGACGCCACGGCACTCACTCTAGCCTGGACAACAAAGTGAGACTCTGTCTCAAAAAAAAAAAAAAAAAAAAAATAGCCGATGGGTCAAATAAAAAATCATAAGAAAATATTTCAAGCTGAATTATAATGAAAAAAATACATCAAAATCTGTGGAATGTAGCTAAAACAGTTATGCAATTAACAGTTAAAGTAGAGGAAACTTTATGACTATAAATGTTATACTAGAAAAGATAAAAAGCTTAAGGTAAATGATTTATGTTCCTACCTTAGAAAAACTAGAAAATGAAAAGCAAATTAAATCTCAAAAGAGGTAAGAGAAAATAAATAAGATCAGAAATTAATATATAAAAAAAGGAAAAAGAGAAAATTAACAAAACCAAAAATTGGTTATTTGAAAATATAAATAAAATTGATAAGACCATGGAAAGAATGATCAAGGAAAAAAAAAGAAAACAAGAGTTACCTATATTAGAAATTAAAGTGGGTTATCACAACCGACATTAAAAACATATTAAGACAATATAATTACTTTTTGCCAATATCTTAAATGACTCAGACAAAAAAAAGAATAAAGTTTGAAAAACAAAATTTACCAAAACTGACTCAAAAATAAAAAAAATCAATACTTCTCTGAGTATAGCTCTTTGTACAGTTCTACTTTTAGAACTTTGTTAGTATTTCACATATTCAATAAACAAAAACATGGCAGGGAAAGGAGGCAAATAGAATTTAAACAAAAACAAATATTATAAACGTAGTATGGATAATGAGAGCCGGGTTTCCAATTGTCAGAGAAGTGAGTTATCACTAAGAAAGAAGGAAGCTAGAAAGAACGCTGTGTAGTTGCCCTGGAACAAGAGGTGGAAGTCTAACAGATCACGCTGTTAAGGTACGATTACAGACAGATAAACATGGAGACACACCTGTGTGCATAAACGTGTATTTCTTTGGCTCTGTCTGCTGACAGGCCCTGGAGGCAATGGCAGCCCAGCACCACATCTAGGTTATAAAAGAACTGCCCAAGAAGCATGGGAAAAGATGCCCAACATCATCGATCATTAGGAAAAGGCAAATTAAACTACAACGAAATGCCAATACACAAAAGCTATGACAAATATAATTTGAAAAGACTGTCAGACCTAAGACTGGTTAGAAGGTGGAACTGAACGTGCATTGCTGAGGGGAGCATGAAGTGGAGTGATGACCATGGAGAAGTCAAATGTGCACGTACTCTAACGCCTAGTCACTCCACTCCTTAGTGTTTTTCCAAGACAAATAAATGCAAAGATCTATTTACAAAAGTTCATAGAACTTTCATTCATAGCAGACAAACTGGAAACAATCCAAATGTCCAATAAGAGAATAGATAATTATATCATGGTACATTTATACTACGGAATACTACTCAGCAATTAAAAAAAATACCTACTGTCACACACAACAATATAAAAGAATCTTGCAGACATTATACTGAGTGAAAGATACCAGGACCAAAGCAGTACATTCTGTAAGACTGCATTTATTTGGAATTATAGACAAAACTAATCTATGGAGACAGAAAGCAGGTCGTGAGTTGCCGGGAGTACTGTGTGGGTGAGGACTGCTGTAAGGGGCATGAGGGAGTGGAATATTCTATGGAGATGACATGGTCTCTATCCTATCGAGTTGCTGGGTACATGGCTGTATGGATTTGTTAAAAGTCATCAATCCTTAAAGATGTTTGAATTGTACTGTAAAATTACTCCTGAATAATGTAGATTTTTAAACAGAATGGAGTGGCTCAGGCCAACAGGGTATCCAGGCTGAGCAGCAAGCATTTTCTGTGTCAGACATGTCTACAGCGTGTGCCTGAGACAAGGGTGGAGGGGAAAAGCAAAAATAATCAACGACATGGTTTCTTGCTTAGTGGCCAAAGGTAGATAAATTTGGGGTGAGTATTTTTGGATTAGATTGTGAGATTTGATAGTCACCTCAAAGATGCAAAGTCACCTCACAGCAGTCAAGAGAGGGGCAGTTTAGATAAATATTGAACAGAACTCAGTACAATGTGCTTTTTGGTTTTTTTGTCTTCTAGATAAGCTCACCATTGTGCACCATCCAAGTGGTAAGTGCTTGGTACTTATTGAAGGATTTAAGACTGAAACAAGGTATATAGTAAATCAATTTCAATGTTAATGTAAACCTAATGTGATTGGGCAGGTCAGTGTAAAAATTCAGATTTTATATTGACATGCAACAGCACTCTACAGCAAAATAAACGCGATGTGGCTATGGAATAGCAGCGCTGGAGGCGTCGATACAGTAAAAGAACCAAATGCATGGAACTTCGGTTGACTCGGCTGTACCGTTGGCAAGACACGGTAGCTCTGTAGGCCTCAGTTTCCTCATTCATATGTAAACTGTAGATAAGAATTGCACCGTGGGGAATTGCTCTAAAGACCGATGATGACTGTGCAAATGAGGGCCATGCAGGATGCGTGGGAATTATCCACAGAGCAAGTGAGATCTGAGCGGCGCTGGGGAGGGCGACTCATTCCGGTGTGACGGCGCACCTGCCCGACACCGGAGGGGCGCGGAGCCGGGCGCCGGCCGGGGAGCTGGGGACAGTCCAGGCCCGTCCGGAGGGGCGCGGAGCCGGGCGCCGGCCGGGGAGCTGGGGGCAGTCCAGGGCCCGTCCGGAGGGGCGCGGAGCCGGGCGCCGGCCGGGGAGCTGGGGGCAGTCCAGGCCCGTCCGGAGGGGCGGGAGCCGGGCGCCGCCGGGGGCTGGGACAGTCCAGGCCCGTCCGGAGGGGCGCGGAGCCGGGCGCCGGCCGGGGAGCTGGGGGCAGTCCAGGCCCGTCCGGAGGGGCGCGGAGCCGGGCGCCGGCCGGGGAGCTGGGGGCAGTCCAGGCCCGTCCGCGGCGCGGCTGCGGGCGAAGGAGGGTCGGGGCCGGCTGTGCGCTGGAGGGGTGGGGGCAGTGGGCAGGCGGCTGGGGCAGGTGTCCACACTGCGCCCGGCTCTGCAATGAGCCGATCCTGGCGGACGCGGAGAAGGGAAGAAAACGGTGTGACCAAGTGGCGGTTGTGACTCAGAGGTGTTGGAAAGATTATTTCCGAATTGCAGTGACCGCAGTGACTCCTCAGGGTTCTACCCAAGTCAGTACACACGGCAGGAGAAAGCCCCATCCTTGCCAAGAGTCCCTTTGTCAACAGGCCCTTTGTGTCTCTTCCGTGATTTTTCTCTTCACCTGTACCCTACTGCTTCTATGAATCATTTTTAAGAAGTGCTGAATAATCATCAAATGTGTGAATGACTGAAACGGTAGTGACAGAGTTTGTATTTCTAGGTGAGGAAATTGCCCACCATGAAAATATGTCGTACAACGTGCCCTTCAGCAATAAGGTGGGTTGTATTTATTTTCATTGTTATAAAAAGCAAAGAAATAACTTCTTGGTTGAAAAATAACATTAAAGCCTTCTATCCTGTCTGTGCTTTGAAATATTCTAACAAATATAAACAAAATAAGTTAGGTAAGCATTTGTGTGCAAAATTTATGGCCAGTAATTTAAGGAAATTAACTGTTTCAAAGAAAACAAAGAAGGAACTCACAGGTAAAAGCCATCAAGGCCAATGTGTGTCTAAATTCAACAGGTACAGACCAAATAAATCCTAGAGGAATTATAAGTACACATATTTTAGCAATAGCAATATGAGAAATCCAATGTATTTGAACCACAGTGTACACAGTTCTTAAAGTCTGACAGGAAAAACACAGTCTTAAATATTGTGATGCAAATATGCATTACTTCACATCATAGAGCTAACTAGAAAATAAATTGCTAACGAGAAGCTAAAAGTAACACTCAGCAAAGATAGCAGCAATTGAAAGCCAAGACCAATTCAAAACAACACTGATGATGTCCCGATCACAAATTTTTCTTCATAAAAATTAGGTTATTCTAACTATCTGCATATGTGATGTAGAACATTTTCACTGTCACCAAGGGCCATGTGGCAGCTGAATGTCTTGCCAAATTCCAGAATTATAGAGCCCTTGGTAAGTTCTTTTAATGAACTAATTTTAGTTTTCCAAATCTTGGTAACCTTTTAAGCTCCTCTTATGTTTCAAGTAAGTAACAGGTATTTATAAAATTCATTCACCCCTAAGAACTGATCTTCTATCTCTGGATTATTCTGTGGTCCACCAGTGAGAGTTTACGTAAAAAAAATCTTTGTCAAAAAAAGAGTCTTTTACAAGGTCTGAAGGACAACAATGGCATAGTTTTTTGAGAGCAAGATTTTGAGTAAGAGGAAAAGAATCCAAATTCCCAGTGCTTAAGCTGTTCTCCCTCAAAATGGAAATAAAATTTGAATTCAAGGACTGGGTAGCAGTTGAACTTTGCAATGATTCTGTTTCCTGTTACGATGGAGACTGTCTCACCAGTTGCCTCTACAAAGCTGTTTCTCCATGATGTGAGAAGCAACTATGACTTTACCATATTTCTTTGTTCAACATCAAAATGGAAAAATGCTAGCTCTATATCTTTTTTTTTCTTTTTCAGCTTCCTGCTCGACTCCAAGCTGAAAAGGAATTTGGTTCCTGTTGCAGGAAAGATCATTAAAGAAGGTAAAATATTAACTATATATATATATATTTTAGAAAACCTTAAGCAAGCTTCTCAGAGACTTGAAGGAATCATTTGTCTAGAAAACAGAATTCTTTAAATATGTCATTTGTCTTCTTCTAAAAAGGATAAACATGTATTTTTTAAGCTAAAGGTGATTGTTCCTTAGAAAGGTTTATGTATGGGGTGATTTTATGCTAGCTGATCAATTTCAATTGAGGAGCTATTATTCACTAACACATTTCCTGTGATCTCATTTTCAGATTATTATAATGAAACTCCAGAATCTGCAGACATTGTGCCTCTAGGGTGAAACAAGCTTGCATTTGGATTCCCTGCTCTCTCCAGAGCAAATCTATATTATGAAAGCGGAAGCCAAGACTCGAGTTTCAGAAGTTCATATTGCCACAATTTATTGGCATTATACCTGCTTCATATGAGTATATCAATCATAAAACAATGCCATAGAGCAATCACGTTCTTTGAAAATTCTTGCATTTTACAATGCACTTTGCCATTTGCTAGTTCTCATTTTGAAAAATAAAAGAAAACAGGAGCAGAGAACTTAAATGATGTGTAGCTAAGTTATTGAGGCATTTACCTTAATAGATTACTTCTCCTTTCCTTACCATAAACAATGAACATACAAATCCACTTAGTATAGTTGCCTTTTCAATGGCCGGTCCATTTTCTAGATTTCTCACATTCACAGTTTTAATTATTATTATTACATCATGTTGCAGAAGCAACATCTCTTCTTTACTGCCTATTTGCATATAACCCTGAGACTATTAATTGTTTGAAAAATTTTCTAAATCTCAAATTAATATACATTTCTACAACCTGTATTCTTTATTAAAAGTCTTACCATTTCAACAACCTATTTATTAGAAACAATTTACTAGCTAGCTTAGAATAGAATGCAGTTTTATCATACTGTAATTTCCATGTACAAATGCCACATATTAATCAAATGTTTAAAGCTACGTCTGACTTTCCAAAATAAATGTATGAGAATTAACCAATAAATTGTTCTGCTTATCAGTTCAAAGGCAGAGGTCTATCAAAAATTTTAAAAATAAAGAAACTCCATTCTAGTTACTGTATAGGGCCCAAATAGTAAATGTAATTGATTTTTTTCTCATTTCTAAACAGTGACAAATATATCTATTGAAAGTAACTCTACAAAACATTTATCACGGGTTTCTAATAACTAATAACATTCTCAAATAAGCTCAAGTTTCAAAAAAAATAATACAGCAGCTTGATTAATCCCTAAAAGAAGGAGGTTTTGACTATGAAATTTGGAAATTCAGCCCATAGTTTGACATTCGAGATATCAAGAACTGGTGTACCCTTCCTCACACGTGGCCCCATTTCTGTGGACTGTCCTATGCAAAGAGCTGGGGAAAGCTATATGAGATTGACTGCTTTTCTATAATTTTCTAAATTTATAAAATTTAAATGAATATATCATTTCTAAAGTAAGAACTTCCATATTGGCCTGTGACTAATGCCCACATTTCCATCACTGGCTTTATTCTTATTAAAAACCTAAAACACAATGATAGGTAAAATGTCAACCTTTCTAATTATATCACAATTAAATCTCTTTTTACCTGAGACTCCATTAAGGGCAGAAGTAGGAGATAAGCCCCACAGACAGAAATCTAAAATCTAAATCTTTAACACAGACAGAAATCTAAAATCAGGACCTCTAAATACTACTTTTATGAACTGGGCTAACTTAGATGAAAATCATGGGCAAAAGCCCCTTTAACAGCCTCTTTCCCTAGACTCTTGGGCCCTTGAAATCTTACTACTTTTCATCACAAAGAAATGTAGAAAAAGGAATCTAGAAATAACTGAGTCCTTACACTGTCTTCTGCCATGGCCACTATCCGGGACTGATGAGGCTGTGGGGAAGATGGTCAGAGAAGGCTGAGGTTAGGGTGTCAGAGAGACCTTACCATACCTGTCACATGGAAGAAAAAAATAAAGCAATATAAAGGGGTAGAAAGGATAATCCCAATGTAAGAATGATCCCAACTGAAAATCCTTCGTAGGGAAGCAGTATCTTTCAGCTTTGGGATGAAGCCCATATATAAAAATCATATGTCTTTATGTGCTTGGCCATTAAACGTGAACCACATTACAGATGCCTTTCCTTGTTGAGGGAAGAGACCAGGAGCAAAGCAGTGGGAAAGTGGAATGAAAACACCGGGCCTTTCCTTGGAGATTTGGGGCATTTCTGAAAGAGGCCTCATCGCTGCCAGGAAGGGAAGGCCGACGTGTGGGATCTTCTGGACATTCCATGCTGTGTCTGGAAGCCTGAGCAACCAGGAGTTAGTAGACCTTATGGTTGTCATCATCCCTTCTTCAATCAGATATGTCCTTAAGCCATTACTCCTAACCTCAGCCAGGAGGCCTCCCCTTTCTCAGGTTCTTACACTTACCAGCACTCTGACTTTTAGAAACATTTGAACTGGTACTGAATGTTATCAATAGTTTCATTTTCAATATTAGCTCCCTTATTTTCTACACAGCCCATTTTCTAGGACAAGAAAGAGCGTACATCTCCGCCAGTGAGTTCGTAAGTAGGACAGTTTTGCTCCCCAGCCCGGGCACTCGGCCCTGTCCGGAGGCAGGTCTGCCGGTCAGGACTGGGAGGAGACGCCCTGGCCGCAGGTGCAGAGGCCAGGGGTGCTGGAAAGCACCAGATAACCGGCCAATCCAGAATGTCATAGCACCAAGATCCAGAACCCTGATCTAGACTATAAAATAAATGTGATTCGTGCTTAAAATAATGTTGTTAAGATAAAAACAGTTAACTTTTTACAAACTTAAAGTAGAAACCCCGTGAGCACAAGTGAATGTCTTTATTTTGAAGTATATCGCTTACGCTTAAATGGATCATTAAATAGAACATCCAACAGAGTGGATGAGTCTAGTATATTTTCATAAATCAATATTATTGTACCAATGGAAACTTTAATATTTAGAAAATGAGACTACTCTCTCATTTTCAAATGACAATGGCCTTGTCATCTGAGGTATTACATCTCATTTGCGCACAAAGTATTTGCTCATCTGAGCTCCTTCTTGTTTCCCATAATGCTCAGTGGGTTTGATTTTAATAACTTGGACTTACCTGGAATTTTCACTGCATGCTGCTTTACTACATGGGTAAATATTTAGGAGAGAGATCTGCCTAATCTGGTGGGTTCCAGCTGACCAGCACAAAGCCAGCATGGGGCTCTATTTGCAGCCCTTTCTGTAGCCGTGCCTGCTGCCACGCTTTGTGGGACCCAGCCTTAAAATCAAGGCTACCACATCAAAGACAGCAAAGGGCAAGATTCTCCTTACCATGGACCTCAAATTTATAAACAGCAAGTATATCATTCCCTCAATATTCTCATTTTCAAAATGCAGATGATAATGCTTCTTACATGATTTTATGAGTATTAAATGACAGCGTGCATTTAAATGAGCAGCGCAGCACTGCATTCCAGAGCACGAACTTTGCTGTCAGGCCAACCTGGTTGGAATCTGCACTCGGCTATGCACCAGCTCTGCGAACAAAGCCAGCGCTTCCCTCTCCCGACCCTGATTTCATCGTTGATAAAATGGGGGTGAGAATGCCAATATTATCATAAGCTGTTTGAGAACTAAATGTGGAGAGATCATTTAATCAATTTATCACCCAAAGAGGACACTTTGGATTGTAGAAGGGAGCACCATTTATGTTTATGATGGAAAACTAGGGGTGAGTGGGGTTGCCTCAGGCATAAACTGGGTTGTGTGGTCATCCTACTTAAATGAGATGTAAAGTCTTGGCACATTTTGGCTGAGAGTAAATGGACAATGAAGATAGTTGGAAAATATAAACCTCTTGGAGAAGGAGCGCTGCGGATGCCTTAGGTGAGCCTGTCTTCTGCCCGGCTCCTGGCACAGGCTCCAGCTTGGGATCTCAGCATTGAATGAGCACCTGGATCACCATAAACAGCAGCAGCACCAAGGGGCAAAATCAGGACTGGTAAGGTAGCGAAGGCAGTGTTTCCCATGTTGGATTTCAAGAAATTCGTAGGGGGTAATTGAATAAAAATGTCCTGTGATCAGTGAGTTTGGGAAATACTATGTATTTTATTCTGTTTTAAATAACAGATATGTACATAAAAGTGTTGAAAACTAAGTAATCCTGAAATAAAGAAACCCATAAAGGTTGAGAAACACTGGCTTACATTTTATGTATGTGTAAATTGGCCTAATTCCCCCAAAGAATGAGAAAAGACAGATTGGCAAGGGATGCCTGGAGCGCTGTGCTGAGATGGGGTGTGAGACCTGTGTTCAGTGGGAACCTACGTCGTGATCAACTAGTGATGCCTGCACGGACACCAGTGTGGGGTGGGGGAACGGTGGCACGCACGACACTTACTAGCACCGCACTCATTCGCACCTGGTCAGCATAAAGCAGTGGGATGCAGGGTACGATTTGCAACCCATTAGCAAGAAGTGAAAGATTAGGTTCTGAATTTTGCAAATAATAAAAGTTAGTTTCACTCAGAATAAAGTTAATCTGACAGCTGTCACCTGTCATCAAACAAAGGAATTAGTAAACATATCTCTAGATAAAACACTACACTTTTATCACATCTTCAAACCACCAGCAAGTCTGGTCCCACTCAATTGGCGTAAGACCATCGACAGTTGCTCTGCGTTGAAATATGTCAAACACTGAAGCAACTTGTGAGCCATCCGTTCTTCCTTCCTGTCTCCCCTGCGCCAGTCCACTGTCGACAGTGCAGCCGGGCCCTCGTCCCCAACAGCTTGCAGAGGACAGCCCCTCACACACCAGGGCCAGCGGCCTGAACCGGTCTTTCCCTCTCGGCCCCCAGAAGGAGTCACGCTGCTGGCACCGCGGTCTCCAATTTCCAGCCTCCAGCACTGTGATAGGATAAATCTCTGCTGTTCAAGCACCCAGTTCGCACGGTTTGTTACTGCAATGGCAACTCGAGCAAACTGACACAACCAGTTTGAACAGAATGTAGATGATGAGCGAGAGACACGAAATGAGTAGGAGCAACATCATGGACGAAGTCTGGGGTTTATTCTAGACACAATGAAAAGCCGTCCACTGGTTTTAAGCAGAACAGAACCAAACCTACGGCAGAATGGACAAGGACCGTGGAGCCGGAGGAGAGGCAAGGTGGCCCAGGGGACGGGTGTCGAGAGGTACCGGCTGGCTGGATGCAGTGATGATGGGACACAGAGAGAGGAGGCGTCCTCCGATCGCATGGTGGGGGTAAAGTCAACAGGATTTACCGATGGGCTTGATGTAGGGGAAGGAGAAAAGAACGTGCATAATGGCTGAATTTCTTGACTTGCTGTTTGGTGGATGATGGTATCATTAACTAAGATGGAGAATGAGTTTTGATGGAGTGTGTGACGTTGGTCAAATCAATTAATCTAATTCTCCATTTCCTGTGTGGAATTAAAATGGAAGTAATGATGACGCTACTGCTTTGCGTCGTTGTGAAGATGAAACAAGCAATGCTTATCAAACACCTGAA